GGCCCTGCTCTGTGAGTGACAGGGGGCAGCGCCCCAACCCCCTGATCGGCCCTGCTCTGTGCATGACGGGGTGGCGCCGCAACCTCCCCATAGACCCTGCCTTGAGTGTGACAGGGAGCGCTGCCCCAACCCCCCAATCGGCCCTACCCTGAGCGTGACTGAGGGTGGCATCGCAACCTCCCGATCCGCCCTGCTCTGTGCATCACAGGGGGCGGCGCCCCAACTCCCCAATCGGCCCTGCTCTGAGCCTGACCAGGGGCCGCACCTAGGGATTGGGCGTACCCTCCACCACCTGGGAGCAGGCCTAAGCCAGCAGGTCATTATCTCCCGAGGGGTCCCAGACTGCGAGAGGGCACAGGCCGGGCTGGACCCCCCCCCCCAAATTTTTGTGCACCGGGCCTCTAGTAGATAATAAAAGTCTAAGCGACTGTTATGGCGGAACGACCAGTCATTATGATGCACACTGACCACCAGGGAGCAGACGCTCAACACAGGGCTGCCCCCCCGGTGGTCAGTGCACTCCCACAGGGTGAGCACTGCTCAGCCAGAGATAAGGAACAGCGAGCAGGTGGGTGGTAAGGAGCAAGGGGTCCTGGACTGCAAGAGGGATGTCCGACTGCTGGCTTTGGCCCGATCCCCTCAAACACCCCCCAAGGGCTGTGAGAGGGCACAAGCCAGGCTGAGGGACCACACCCCATTCCCAGTGCACCGGGCCTCTAGTGTGTGAGAGTGTGTGTGTGTGTGTGTGTGTATTCAGCTGTATGCATTGTTTCCTATTTTTATTATACCTTCATTGTTCCTTTTTCATTATCTTCCTTTGTTTATATTTTCAGAAGAACAGTGCCTTTTACTGTTTAATCACCTGCTTTATGTCCTTTGACTCTGTTTAAAATAAAATGTGTTTAACTGTCTTTCCCAATTTTCTAAATTTCCATTAATTTTCTGAATGAACTCTGCTCCCAAGAAACTTTTTACCCTGGCTGGTGTGGCTCAGTTGGTTGGGACCCATGCATCAAAAGGTTGCTTGTCTGATTTCACAGATTATTTTTATTGATAATTTATGATCCTGGATATTTAATTTGGGTAGAGGATAACCATGAAATGAAATCATATTTGACTTTATGATCTGGATTTTCCCCTCTTTGGTTTTACTTTAAAACTCTAGAACATGCCGAAACCGGTTTGGCTCAGTGGATAGAGCGTCAGCCTGCGGACTGAAAGGTCCCAGGTTCGATTCCGGTCAAGGGCATGTACCTTGGTTGCGGGCATATCCCCAGTAGGAGATGTGCAGGAGGCAGCTGATCGATGTTTCTCTCTCATCGATGTTTCTAATTCTCTATCTCCCTTCCTCTCTGTAAGAAATCAATAAAATATATTTAAATAAATAAATAAATAAATAAATAAAACTCTAGAACATATTTATAATTCAGTTTATACTTCGTAAGAAAAAGTAAATCAGAAAACTTCGTTTTAAATACTAGTAAACTACAAGTTACCTTTCCTAAAAATGTTGAAATATTTGAGCTTCTGAGCAATACAGAGTCTGGATAACTTATTTCCAGCATCACCGATATGTGCTGTCTACCTTGTACTTCCATGGAATTTTTATTTTCACCCATTTGAGGTCTGAAAACTGAACCCAACTTGTTACTCTGAAGAGCAGAAGGGAAAAGACTCAGCTTTCCATTGTGATGGAGGAGTGAGTATTCAGATCTAGGAAGAGATCAAGTGCTTATTAGATTGAACGTGGTGTTGAGGTTGGCACACACTGCTGTTTCAGCATGGTACAAAAGGCTGCCCTGACACCTCTTGTCCTAGTTTCCAGGGAGCCTAAAAATGTTGCCCTTTGACTGCTTTGGTTTGCAGTCCTGCTGTTTTCTATCTGTTGTGGTGCATGAAGATAGAGAAGCATGTGTGGGAACCACTTTAGAGGTCAATTTGATCCTGCCTTGTTTTGCTGATTGAGAAAGGTATTTCAGGTTAAAGAATGTTGCTCAAGGCTGTTTAGCTAGTTAATAACAAGGTTGGGAACTTCATCTTGGTTTCCTGATTCCAAAGGTAATATTACACAAATACCTACCAGGCTGTCATGACTGGTCCTCCAAAATCAGTGGAATATGTATCTGAAGGTGTTTACTTAATAGAAGTGGTGGGTCTTTAGTGAACTCTCCCCTTTCTTTATTCTTCTGATAGCCAGCACATCTAAAAAACACTGGTAGGTTTCTTTGTCCTAGGACTAAGCTACATAAAGTATATAAACAGTGAAGTTTGCATAACTGACCATACCTCTATTTATAAATAACACAAGTGTCCTGGTGAACGGATTTGTGCACATGGAAAGGAAATTAATTAGAAGAAATATTTTGATATCACTATTTGCCCTTTCTCTATAATAGAAGTGTCAACCAAATTTACAATCGACAATGACAGATCGAAACACACACATGCCATTGGCGCCAGTGAGAGCTTTATGTGTATCACGCATGCACGAGTCAACTTAGCCTTTTATATATATAGATAAACTTGCTTAATGAGACCTGCTTTTTGATTTAGCTAAACTTCTTCCAGCCCAGTGAAGCACCCCAACTTCTCTTTCAGGTAATTGTCAGCAGCACAGCAGTAAATAATCAACATGAAGTAGATTATTATTGTAGATCACACAGGGAGAACAAAGGGTAAAATATTTAACTGCAACAGTGTTTGACTATATTCTGTGCAGTGAGAAAACCTGAAGTCATTTTTAAGTTCCAGCATTTCTTACTTCTTTTCAGTTGGGTCAAGTTTCTAAACTTTCTAAATCTCCGTTTTCCGGCTAATGAAAAGAAAAATAAGATTCTACTGAGTCTCCTATCCATCTACTCCAGGACTTCTGTGAAGATCAAATGAGATGAGACATGTGAAAACACTTCACGAACATTTGGTTAAAGTGTAAAATGTTTGCACCTAGCTATAAAGCAAGTCAGGTTCCTGGGCTGAAGAAACTCCAAGGAGGCTAGTCGCTAGGGAGAGGAAGCGGGGCGTTGCTATGTGATGTCATTACCAAGTGCCTACAGCAACCGTTTCTGGGCTGGGCTGTGGTCCACATTTTGCGCCATGGAGTCTTGGCAGCATAAGCTGCGATTTGGTGGGTTGTTGCTCCGGGGTGGGGGCAGGGCCTGTGTCCCACTTGGGAGAAGTCGAGTGTTGGTTTGTGGGCACCAGGTCTCTGGTGCCGCTTATTTTTAAATGGCCAGTGCATGTCACGGCAGCTCCTGCATTAAGCATCTGCCCCCTGGTGGTCAGTGCGCGTCATAGCTACCGTGGGACGAACGGACACTTAGCCTTTTATATATATAGGTTGTTACTGGAATGTGATGGTTACTAAAGGGTGTCCCAAAATTCACGCAAGAAGTAATTTTGATAGAAAACACAGGTTTATAATTAAAAATTGTAAATGTTTTATTGATTCAGATGAGGCTCATTTTCATCTTGATGGCTTAGTTAATCGACAAAATTGTCGCATTTGGGGTTCAGAAAATCCACGAGTGATTGTTGACAAACAAATGCTTCCACAACGTGTCACTGTTTGGTGCGGATTTGGGGCTGGAGGCATCATCCGGCCATTCTTCTTCGAAAATGCGGCTGCTCAGGCAATAACAGTTAATGGTGCTCGCTATGGCGACATGATAATCCATTTACCAGACATCCTATTCCATACATAACCTTATACTGTATACTTTATGAATCAATAAAAAATTTACAATTTTTAATTATAAACCTGTGTTTTCTATCAAAATTACTTCTTGCGTGAATTTTGGGACACCCTTTAGTTACTAGTGTGGGGAACTGCTGGTGATCACAACTGTGTTGGAGTATATCCATTTCTACAATGTAATAGCAGTGTTCAGATTCATTAGTAAACAGCACAGGCTGAACAATGTCGTTAAACAGGGGAAAGGGGGCAAACATGGATGTTATGCTTGGTGACTTAGTGCTCACCTCAGCTCATATTATGTAACTAGAAGACAGACCCGATTGAACCCATGGTAGGTTGGTGACTGTTGAGGTCTCATTTCCGATGCTTTGTATTTTCAGCCTGTTGATGTGACCATAAAGATCAGCTTATTAACTCACTTGTTCATTGATAACCATTTCTCAGTGTGCCACTCCCCATATTTATTAACTTGTGTATAAGTGTTTTGAGTGTGGTAGATGTTTTTTATCCACATTGAAAATCAGCTAACATTAATGTTTCAGTTTGCATAAAGGACACATTATGAGTAACCTTACAATGAAACATTTATTGAGTATGCTTTCAAGCTTCCCCTAAGGAGAAGTCCTAGTAATTATAATGCAGTTCATGTGTTATTTAAAAAATTAGTCATTAATACTTTCTTTTAAACCATAAATACTTTTTTCCTTCTTCTGAGCGCCAGCTGGTTAGAAACTTAATACCCATTTTGTTCTTTCTTTTTAACCCATAGCTTCTCTGTAACATTGACTAATTGGGGTTAATAAAACACCTCCATTATTCCTTTGGTAACTGTGCTAATGAGATTCATATATAAGCCATGAGCCAGTGGCATCTCGAGTTTGTGATCTCCTTGGACTATAAGGGCTCTGGCCAGGTACTTTGATTTAGAAAGTCTGGGCAATAAGAAAACCACTCTAGAATTCTACTGTGTTGTAGTGAATTAGATTTAGAGATCCTTTTTTTTTGCTTTTTCTTTTTTAAGGCAGTTGATTCTTTCTTGAAAAGATATCCCAGTGCAATTTGAATCTCTCCCTTAATTTGGCCTAAGCATTAATGATATTAGTAAATTTGAATTTTGTGTGCTCTCTTTTCCTTTATCCTTTAATGAACGTGTGAATTAGGTATGAAATGACCTAAAAGAAATGAGGGTAAGGAGCTAGAGCCCTGGTTAATGTAAAATTAGATAAGCATTCAAAAAATTGGTGATGGGACATTATTATTGATGGTCAGTTGACAGTGACTGCCATTATTTTAGTATTTTTCTCTATAATGGCAGGAGATGCTTGAGCATTTTGCAAGGTATAAAAAAAACTGCAGCCGAAACCGGTTTGGCTCAGTGGATAGAGCTTCGGCCTGCGGACTGAAAGGTCCCGGGTTCGATTCCGGTCAAGGGCATGTACCTGGGTTGCGGGCACATCCCCAGTGGGAGTGCGGGAGG